AGCGCGAAGCCCCGGCCGGCGACGCCCGGAGCCCCACCGCGGCTGCAGCCAGGCGCCCCGCCGCCCGGCCCTCGCCCGTATGGGGCTCGCCGGCCCGCAGCTCCGCCGGGAAGAAGCCAGCCGGGGGGTGCTGGTGGTGGTGCTGGTGAGGGGACCGAGCGGGGGCTGCTTTTCTTTTTTTCGTTTCTTTTTTCAAACGACACTTGAGACTCTCACCCAGTCCTTTCCATGGCCCCAAGCCGCGACTTACTCGAGTGGAAGGAAGCAAGGCCTCGCCAAAGATGGTTGAAAAAATGCCCGTGAGCCTCTCTACCCAGGATCTTGAAGCCAAGGTGGTGGTTGTGCTGTCCTCCTCGTAATGGTGGCAAATAAGAAGAGAGCACGCTATCTTCAGATAAAATAAATCTGAAATTCTCCCAGGAGGTGGAAGAAAGGGCTCTCCTCTGGTTAGTTAGTGGTTTGGAGCCCTTTTCGCCTTAAACTGAGCCACAAAAGAATGGAAGACACCCCTGGGGTGGGGAGAAAGCCCTGGTGGAAAAGACACACGTTTTGCTTTCAGAGAAAAAGCCACTGGGGCCAGATTGAAGCCTGGCATGTTCAGTTCATGTAGGGCTTTTTTTTTTTTTTAAGTGGGGGAATGATATTGAGTAAACACGATGTAATAGCAGGGTCTTTAAATTCTATAAGGGAGATGGTGTACAGATGTAACAAGCATGCATTGTACATACAGCAGGTGGTCATGGCTTACAGAACACACGCAAAAGGATACATACTTAAGCCCAGTAAAGGCCACGAAGGGCGATAATCATAACCCATCCGAGATGCATTTCCTTCCATTCCAGATGAAGTATGATATTTTCCAGCCCTGTGTCCTGGTGCCCATATTGAACACAGACGTGCACTCCACTGAAAGGTTTGTTTTTTTTTTTTTTTTAATGAGAGAAACCTCCATGTCGAGCTAATTGTGCTGACTAGAAGTAGGACAAAATGGAAGAATCTGAAAAAATGTGACCATTACCTCCTAAAAAGGCTTCCTCCTGTTTGCTTGGACTCTGAAGACAATGCGCTCACTGGAGTAGCTGTGAAGTCTCCCAGCATAAGACGTAGTCTTGTGTGTTTTGTTTTAAATTAGATTGATTAATGTCTGCAAAGTGTGTGCGAAGTTGTTTTTTTAAATCTCAGCGTTCTTCTCTAGCGTTAACTTCCGTTGAGGAAGCCATTGTTGTCTGTGATAGGGCACCGTAGGGTGTGAATTTTTAAAGCTCTTTTGCTATTTAAGACTTTTCATGCAGATGACTAAAATTACTGTTTCACATAAGAGTTGTCTTTAGTTTCAAACGGTGATTGTGCAGAGGTGCACGTAAGTTGGAATGCATTATCTACATATTTGCACACGCTTAGAAAGACTATGCAATCTGCAGATTTTGCCAACCACAGCATCACATTTACCAGTGTTACAAGATGATGAAATTGAAACTCTCATCTTCTCTGAGCTGGAACACAATGCCAGTATTCTGTGTGTTGAGTTTCAACTTTACCTGGGCTTGATTTCATTGAAAGGAAAGCTTTTTCTTCTAAAGGTGGGCCTTTATTAATATGCATGTTTTTAAAAATGATGTGCATTGAGAATAGAAGGACCTGCTAATTTGAGATCTTGATAGGCTACCCTGTTACAATATATGGAATTTGATCATGTAGATACCATAAAGAAACCCCTAGTTGGTTTGGAATCTTTGTTTACTTAAAATGGTCTCTTGCCCTTCCCCCACTCCCTGACCTACAGCTGAAAGCCCAACAAAGCAGCATTTGAGTGGTTACAAGAGTGTACCCCCCAAGCCAAAGTCTAAATTGCTTGTCCTAGGAGTCTTCAGTTGGGCAACTGCCTGGTGACTTCACAATGCCAAAGACGGTGAGCTCTGTCCAAACCCAGTGTTTTCTGTAAACCCTTGATGGGGATAATTTAGTTTCACAGCCCCACTCATTGGTTGCACAAGGGACAAGAACTAACATTGCATCTACTTTTAAATTCCAGAAACAGCTGAAAAGTAAAAGAACCATTTCTATCTAATTCTCTGGGTTCTATTTTTACAATGAAGGTTTCAAAGAAACCTCTTTCCCAGGTAGACTGACAGTTAAAAGCAAAGCACCCCTCTGAACCTATTTTACAAAATCATTGCATTTCACAGCTGAAAAAGGCAGCTCCTGAGTTTTTTTTTAAGCACTACCCCTCTTCCAAAGCAATCAATACAAAAAGGTGTGTTCTATTACTCTACATATGTAAGACTGCCTTGTGTCCAGTTCTGCTTTGAGCAACAATAAAATAGTAATTTGACTACAAGAATGAAATAAAACTATTATCTGAATACAGTAGATAAGAACAGAACAAAGAAAACATGTGCTTCTCCTGCCAAATAGAAACTAAAGGAATTCCAAACCCTTTGGGATTTTGTTATTGATGTTTTTATTGCTAACTCTGTGTCTAGATTTTTCCTCCAATCAGTGCATCAAAAAAAATCCTAGCTTGTTTTTGTTTTTATTTCATCTTTTGTGGTTAGAAGCGGGTTTTGCAGAAGCCTGTAGCTCCCATAGTTCCCCTCCTTCCACTCAGAAATTGGGAAATTCCTTTGTTAGGCCAAGCACACAAAAGGTGTGTTCCTGGAGGGAGGGGAGCGTGGAGGGAAACCATTCTTTATCTCACCATCAAAGGCCTTGCAGACTAACTCCTCAATTGCCCCAGGTCTTGAGCTGCACATTTTTTTTTTTTAGCTCAGAATCAAGATAGGCCTAGGTGTTTGTAAGAGGTTTAACATATTACATTTGTTAGCATGTTTTTAAAGGAATCCTTACAGTGCTTGACCTGGAATAGTAAAGATTTGTAGCAGAATGACCATTTAAAAAAAAAAAAAAAAAAGGAAAATTTTTTTTTTTTTCTTTCTTTTTTTTTTTTTTTTTCCGGAGCTGAGGACCGAACCCAGGGCCTTGCGCTTGCTAGGCAAAAGCACACTACCACTGAGCTAAATCCCCAACCCCATTTCTTTTTAAGAACAGCAAACTATTGATAGAATTGGTATTTTTTTTCACACACAAGTCCAAAAATATAACAT